CTGGCTATGGATCACAGGTTTTTACGACTGGGGGAGAAAATATGCTTTATACTTATAGATATAGGTGTAATGAAATAGTAACTAATTAAATAAAAAATGTGGTGAAAATGTGTAGCTAAGAATGGAACTGAAGGAAGATCAGGTATTTGAAGGATGGTGTGAAGGAAGCATTAAATTTGGTCCAACATACAAATACTATCCCAATTCAGATGACTATTACGGCAGGCTTGAATTTAAAAAGGGCGAAAAGAAACGCGCTCCAGCATGGTAATTTTCTCGTTTCTCTCTACTCATTAAATCCAATTCAATTAAACGAAGCCCAAATATATCCCTATGATTCAATTTTTGTAGCAAACTTCCCGCAAAATCTCACCATTTAGGGGTTGTATGCTAAAAACAAGTATCATATGAGGGTGTTTGCTAATATTAATAATACGAGAATTTTTTTAGTAATTCAATATTACACTCTGAGGGGTTGAATGCAATAAAAACCCCGATCATGTAATAACATCTAGGAGATGCTAATACAAACGTACACATGCATGTATGTTATTTAGGAGTGCAAATCTGAATGTACTAATACTCTGATATATTTTATCCATGTAAAAGAATCTAATTAATGGTTTATTTCGCTAAAGTAAATTATGGAACATATATATAAAATTTATTTCATAATATTATATAAATTTATTGCAATATTAACTAATTTAAAGTTAGAAGTAAATTTAATGTTTTAGGGGTGTGGGTAAATATTATAGGTGTGATAGGATAATATGGCGCGGTGAAGGGTTGAAGCAACAAGAATATGAAAGGGTTGAATCGAAGTTGTCGGATCACAGACCAGTGAAGGCAATTTTCATCAGCCAAGTCAAAGTGAAGCTCAAGTCTCAAGCCCTTCAAAACTTCTTCTTATCTGAGAGATATGAGAATACAACAAATAAGTATTTGGAAGATGATTTTCCTTGTAAAAATGCCAAATTTGCTCTTCAAGTAAGGGATTTATAATCTATTATTTTCTCTTACCAAGAAAAACAATTGCATGTACATGTAAAAATATGGCGGCAGATCATATGTTCAAATGATTCTTATATTTCTATTTGGGCAAGTACGTTGTTATATATGGGAGAAGTTGATATTAGATATTAGGTGTTGTGAAATGGCGTATTTACTTAAACTCTGTGGTTTGGTGGTCGTGGAATGATGTAGTAAAATATAATGTAAACAACATTAGAAAGAGATAAATAGAGAGAAAACGAACAGCAAATGCATAGAGAGATAATTGTGGGGATTAAAAGGGTTTCACAAGCTTTTTTTATCACACTTCATTGGTGTACAGAGAATGAATTTATACAAGAGAATTGACTCAATCAAGCTTTAATCAAGCTATTCTAATTACGTCAAATCTGGAAAAAAATATTATAACAGAATCACGCAAATAAGAGAATTAGCTAATTATGTAAATAAGGAAACTAGCTAAGATGGTGTGATATCCTTGAGATGCCCATGCAACATGGCATGTCGGTCAAAGATGCCAATCTTGGATCGAAAACTGTCAAATGTTGGGCCAGAGAGTGGCTTGGTTAGGAGGTCCGCCAAGTGAGCATTGGTTGACACATGAGAAACATGTAATTAGCCATTCTTAACAAGCTTTCGAACAAAGTGATAAGCCACTTCAATATGTTTCAATATGTTTCATGCACGAGTAGAAAACATGATTTGCACAAAGATAGTGTTGGGAATCAGGAACGTGTACGCAGATGAAAACAAAAATTTTATATAGAAAACTTATTTTACATATAGTCACGTGCACAATTTAACAATTAAATGCGTACCTTATTGCTTCCGGCGAAAATTAAAATACATATATGCATAATATTTAATTTTCTCTTAATTAAACAATTAGCATGCTCACATTAAATCAAGAATCATGCATATAAATAATTTCATAAGTCATTCAAGCAAAATCAATATAGCATATATCAAATCATAATTAATAATATAAATTAATTTAATTAAATGCAAACGGATCTGATTTTACCACTTGAAGCGCGAGGAAAACTATCGGATGCAAAATAAACTGCCACGGAAACAAATCCATGCAGTCGGGAGGAGCAGCGGAGGAGCGGTTGCGTCGGACGCGTGGGGCAGCGGCAACGCGTGCAATTCACGCGCTGTCTTCGGGCAGCGCTACTGCTGTCGGACTGCCTTGTCTTCCTCCTCTTGGATTTCACCTCGAACACTGAGTTTTATAATTATGTGGCACTAGACACGCTAAAGTTAGAAATAAAAGAAGAAAAGACAAAAGAAGACCGGGCGACGGTGGCGGCGACGACAGACTGAGAAGTGGCGGCGGTCGTGATTGAGGGAGAGAGAGGCAGCATCTAGGGTTTGCTTGCTTGTGTGCAAGACTTATAAATCTTGTATTTATAGTGTCTTGTGCACAACCCTAACATGTTTAAGTTGGATCGGCCCCAACAACTTAAACTCGTTCGCCTTTCTCTACTCGTTTCTCACAAACCAATGATCGGAAGAATATAACAATTACATTTTCAGAATCACTGAAATGTCCTCGTCGATACGAGTGCCAATTCTCGATTTCCAATTTCTAAAACTTGAAACCCTAATTTAGTATACCTGCTTAATCGGGAAACTTCCCAATTTAGAAGGTTCACTAAAATCATCGCCTAGTTCTTTTCTTTTCCATTCTCGTTATTCATAATTCAGAATTATGAATGTTGGACTCAATCGTACTGACTTCCAATTTTGAAAAGACCAACATTTTATTCTTTGACCGTTTATTCAATGAATTCAAGTGCACTAGTAGTATGACCATCGATGGTTCAGGTGTAAGTTAGCCGTGGGCTCACAACCCATTGTGTTTCAAACTCGTCCCTAAAGTCATAGTTAAGATGAAGCTCGTTTCAACTTAACCGCCCAACAAATCAAGATTGGGGTCTAGCAACTACGCGTCATGATTCCCTAGATACAAATGAAGTGCCTGCAAGAACCGTGTGATATAGTTAATGTACAGTACGATCCCTTCAATATATATGTCCCGATTGAACTAGAGGCATTGGTTCATCGAGACCTTATTTATATTTCAGTAATTGTGCGATCGTTCTAAGTATTGCAATCGTTCGTTCATAACTTAATGAATCACATTCACTAATCATCACATAGTCAGCTCTGGCCCGAGACTTAATAATTACAAACTATAAGAACACACAGGACATCCAAGACTATTCTAGCGATCGAATCCCCGACTACAATGCACATACCTCCCACTAGATTTCGAACTGCACGAACACTGGCCCTTGGGGCGGTCTTCGGTGAAACTCAAGGACAGTACATGATACAGCTGGTCCTCTAGTGAAGTCACAGTGATCTCTAGGTCTTAAGGACTAATGGTGTACAATTATGTCATAAAGATCTCTACTCGATTATTGAGAACCACTTAGAGATTTCAAGGATGAGGGAGTTCAGTGAACTCATCAACATATGAGCATTCACTTATTTATGCCAATACACAATACCGATTGTTGATGAGACTTAGTACACATATATTAAGTGCTAGTCTCGAATGGAAAAAATTGATATCCTCATTGGTGGCGTAACCTGTTGACTATGAACATGGTTTAACAATTATATCACTTAACTAAATATCTCATGATTCTACTAGATCAAATATAAGTAATTATAATAACTTTAAGGACTATGTCTATGCTTATGCGAGGGACAAAGATATAGAATGCCAAAAGGTGTTTTTCTCATTAATACGAAAAATGATTATTTATTACAATAATAAAAGAAAGGCCACAACCACAAGTTGGCTTGTTGGTCACCTACTATAACAGATAGGTTGTCCCAAGATTGTCATAGTAAATGACCGGTTGAGTGGCAAGTGAAATTGAAACCTCATTGAGAAGGCCTTGCACCTAACACAATTCCATGCAGTGATAGCGACATATCGATATTCGGCTTTAGTGGAAGAACAAGCGATCGATCTTTGTTTCTTAGAACTCCAAGCAATAGGGTTACAGCCAATGGAGACTATGAACGCACTTGTATTTGCGCGATCATCCTTTTTTCCAGCCAAATCAGCATCAAAAAGGCATGAAGGAAAATTGGTGAATTGCTAGACAAGAACAACCCAAGTTCAAATGAGCCTCCCAAATAGCGTAGAACTCGTTTTACTGTTGTCCAATGATTCATATTAGGTTGATTGGCAAATTGAGCAAGTTTATTCATAACATACGTTATGTCTGGACACGTGAGCTGTAGATATTGTAAGCTCCCAACAATTGTTCGATATTCTTTAACATCATCAAGATGAGGACTGTTGGCGATAGATAGAGTGTTGCCCATCGATAGGGGTGTCTTAACGGCCTTGGTACCAATCATATTTGCACGATCTAATAGTTCCATTATATACCGTTTCTGAGAAAGAAATAATCCATTGTTGCTGGAATTACCTCCACAAAAAAGAAGAAGTCTAAATCGCCCAAATCTTTGATAGAAAACCATGAGCCGAGTTTCTTGATAAATGTCTCAATGGACGAGGAGTGATTTCCTATAATAATCAAATCATCAACATAGACAATTAAGTAGATTATGATCCCATTATGAGCAAAGATGAATGATAAGTATCAGATGCAGAATTAGGGAAGCCAATAGATAGAGAAAAAAAATTGTAACTCCGAGAACCATTCCCTCGGAGCTGTTTCAAGCCATAGATTTTCCTTATGTAACTTGCACAAATGATTCGGAAATTGTTCATTGATAAAGCCTGGTGGTTGAGTCATATAAACGTCTCCGGTCAAGTGACCATGAAAAAAGGTATTATTAGTGTCCAATTGTCGAAGAGACAAATTGCTTGAAACTGCAATAGGGAGGACGACTCTAACAGTTGTATTCTTGGCCACGGGTGAAAATGTCTCGTCATAGTCAAGACCAGGCCGTTGGTGAAATCCTTTGGCAACAAGACGTGCTTTGTATCGGTTGACTGTTCCATTGAAGTTGTACTTCATCCTGAAAATTCACTTCCAACCAACAACATATATTAGATGAGATATGAGAAGAAACTAAGGACCATGTTTTCTGATTGTTTAACACATCAGGTTCTTCTTGCATGGCAACACGCCAACGAGAATCTTTAAGAGCAGTAGAGACAGATTTTGGCTCTTGAAGTCTTGTATTTTCAATGGGGTTTGGTTTTGTAGAGGAAGAAAACAAGGAAGGAGTTTTGGGGTTGAATTTTTACGTGGCAAGACAAAGACGCTGATTAGGTTTATAAATATTATATTTCGATCGAGTTATCATTGGGTGGCTTGGACGGGTTGGTGGTTGTGTAGAAAATGAACACTCATTAGAATCAATATTTTTGCAAGATATATTCATACCTAAAGTGTTGCAGGAGGAGTCCATCATTTCGCTTGATGAAGGAATATCGTTGGTGACATCATAAACCATAAGGGAAGCTCGAGCCAGTGGTGGAGAGATTGAAGAGGTGGAGAATTATTGGTTTGGGATAACAAAATGAGATGGAGTCCAAGTAGCAATTGTGACTTCAGTAGATCTAGTGTATGTGTCAAACACAAATTTAAATGTCTACAAAATAAATTACAAGACAAAAAAAAAATAGGAACAAATAAATATTTAATCAAGGGGAAACGGGTTACAATCTTTGTTGATTCCTCTGATTCTTCTCCTAGATTTAATCCAATGACCGAAGCTTGTTCTTGAATTGAAAGCTTGATTCGTTCCTTGATTTATGGAAGTAAATATGGATATCTAGAAACCGATTTAGAGATTTCTAGGTCTTGTGGATATGGTGCTTGGTGAAGATGTAGAACCTCTGCGGTTGTTGTTCTTCGTCGTGGCAAGAGCTCAAGACTTGAGAGCTTTTTAGTGCTTGATGTACGCCTTGCTTGATGCTTGTGTCCTTGCATGTGTGTATTTTTGTGTGTTGTATGTCTCCTTTTATAGGCTCGGTTTAAGGTTTCTTGACTTGAAACTTGTGCCGGTGGATTTGAACATTTGCAACTTCATGAGGGCTAGATTTTATAAGCCCAAACAGTTTAACCCAAATGAATACGAATTTAGTACTTATTTGAGTTAACTAACATTATACATTCGTAG